CTGCTGCGCCTGTGATACAGCTGTTCTGCGTTCTGATTAAAAGTTAAGACAGAGCGTCTTTTGTCTGTCGTTCTTCAAACATTACAGTAGACATATTTTGGTCTACAAACTGTATTGTTTCATCAGTTAGTCACGTTAGCACTTGGCTAACGTATCCACCATTATTGTTTTAAAGGCACAATATGTAAGATTTATTAATGAAAATATCCCAAAACCACTAGAACAGTGTTATATATTTTGCTGACTTATGTACTTACATTATCCCAAATGTTTTGAAGAATGTTTAAATCCAGAGAAACAAGCAATTTTAACTAGTGACACGGACCGTGTCCATAGTGTCATTGACGTCTGCCAATGACATCATACACACTCGATTTTTCCGGTTTTATTTTGTTGAAAACATGGAAACCCTAAAGACACTTTAATATGTTATGCATTTTATTAGACAGGTGACGAACGCACAGAGTAGCATTATAACAGAACTTTCAATACACTCAAATGTATCTAGTATAATAAAAGCTCTGCTGCTTTCGAGTCGTGTATCGCGCTCGTCCTTCATTAGCAATCACTCCAGCAGCCTCGTTTCGCTTCCACGACTTTTAGCCCCACCCTGCTTTATACTACAGTGACCTTAAGTCTTTAATATATTAGCTCATCCATGAACATGATTTCTACCCGAGTCCCGTCGGATTGCATCGGCTGTGGGGATGAAGACGACAACTCCCATGATTCCACACTCAATCATGGCATCATCAAAATATGCCTTTGTTTCTTGTTTGTTTTGAATATGCGCCCTCTAGCGACGAAAACTTACATATTGTGCCTTTAAGTGTTCACAGTTTAGTAGCTAAACTTGAGCTGTGGGCACGATTCGCTTGCATAAGTGTTTTTGTATTTTATGTCATTATTATAAGAACGGATTGGAGCACTATATTATTGTTTTACATAAAGGTGCTTTGTCAATGGTAGCATTCGCTAACTTGCTCAAGGACTTCTCTCTCTGCCAATCACAACAGGCTTGGCCAGCTGACCAATCAGAGCAGAGGCTTATGGAAGGGAGGGGTTTGCTCCGAACTTGCTTGGAACGAATCGTTTGCAATCATTGGCAAATGAAATGTATATTATGAGAAAATTACAATGTTTTCTGACCTTAAAGATGCATTTAAACCTGTTGTAGGGGACTCCAACACAATATTAGGACACTTTAAAATACCATATGACCTGGAGCCTGTACCATGATGGTAGATGAACAAATTCAGAGTTACAGGATTAGTTTCGAGTTGACAAAACCAGACCACTCCAATCCAGCTTTATTGGTACCATGATGCTGATCATCAACTTTCTTTGTCAACTCAGGCTTTGATCCTGAGTTTGTGGCGCACGTGCAAATGAATGGGTGATATCAGTAGCGAACAGCCAATCACATGCCTCGCAACACAAAGCAAGTGTGATTCACTTCTCGCGAGAGAGTCAGCGAGATTCAAAAAAAAGATTAAAGAATATAAGGAATTTAACCGCATTTACATTGAAGCACTTGTCCATAAAATAGGACAAATAAAATACATTTTCTGGCTCTATTAGTGCAGTCACAAATGAAACTTCTGAAGTTAGTTTACTATAGTTGATAATATATAGTGATAGAGACTTGAACATGTAAGGTCACATGTAGCCATTTTTAAAGCGTTATCTATTGATTCTACCGCTTATTTATATTACTTATGATCTGTATATATATTCAATTTCATTTAAAATAAATACATGATAATAATTGTTAAACTAAAAGTGCTTGTGTGTAATGTATTAATAATAATATATTCATATTATAATTATATAAATCATGTGTAAATTGTAATTATCATTAAAGCCAGATAATTTTGTTGTAATTTTAAGTACTTTGCAGTGACCTTTAATTTGTAGGAAGAGAAACTGGGGGAGTTACTTTTTTGTTTTGTTTTTTGCGTCAGACATGTCAATTTGCTCACATCTGATTGGTCCAATTTCAGTTTAAGATCTCTTACCCAGAATATAACCTGCCCTGGAGCAGGTTAGCTGTGCAGTGCAAGTTACTATGGCAATGAACGCCACTAAAAGCCAATCCACTTTCATGGTACCCAAAACCCAGGATTGGTGCAAACTAAATTGAAATTTGCCTGGCTAGCTAGCTAATCCGGCTTCATGGTACTGGCCCCTGCTCTTTAAACTAAACACAAACACAAAAAAAATAAACAAAAGTAAAAATTTTTTCCCAAATGCAGGAATCATTTCAACAATACATGTCAAACAATATATGTATAACAACAAGATATCAAACAATGCATCTCTTAAGGTGGGTGTACACGGTGCGATTCTGAAGGTCGGAACGTCGTGAGCTCTGGCACGTCACGATTGAGTTTATCCGAAAATCGTACGGAGGCAGTCACACACGACACGAATTTACTACGATTTTACAAACTCTGACGGGAGCATTACGTTTCGCGCCATTCATAAAAATATGGATTCTGAGGACGAAATAGTTTTCTTTGTGGCAGGCTGGCAGCTATGGCTTGTGACGTCCAAACAAAAGAAACGAAGACAAAGGACATGGCTAAGAGAATGGCTGAAAAGCATGGACTTTCTGTTCTTCATAAAGAACTCGAGGGAGTAGGCCATTTCTGAATTTCTGCTGGTTTTGCCGGTAATACAACAGGCATATTCATTCATAAAGCTGAACGGCAAATTTGGCACATTCGGAATAACGAATAAAAAATAGAACTGTATAATTAAACTAAAATTATTATAGACTATATGGTTTTTGTCATCTTCTGATTGGTCAACTTCAGATGGATCGCCAAATCCGCACATACGCCACGAATTTAAACCGACAGCATCCGATTTTTTTTGACATGTTTGAAAATTATCGGGAGGACGGGAGGTGCTCATAACGTCTCGGATCAGCCCGTAATTCTTCTCGCACGGTACGTGCCGCGACCATGCGAGCATCTGCGATTTTCTCCCGAGAGAAAAAAAATAAAAATAAATCACCTGCGAGCTCGTACGACAGCAAAAATCGCACCGTGTACGCCCGCCTTTAAATCCACATTGTCCTGCTATGACCAATCAGTCTACACTGTAACTACACTGTGATTCTGTGGCCTGTAGCACGAAGCGAGATGAACAAACTCAGAGTTGCAGAGTAAGTTTTGAGTTGTCAAAAACCGATAAAGCCAACCTGGAAAAAAAAAAATCAGTTTTTATAATAAAACTTTGAAAATCAAAATCTGGATTTGAATTTTTAATGTTATTATAACCTAAAGATGCCATGTGAAAGTTTGAAACAGAAAATAGTGGTTTTCATCTTGCCACTTTCTTGGTAAAGAAAACGCATATTTACTCAAATTAATCAAAATGGGTTTATAGCATTTTGGAATCAATAAAATTAATTGCCACTTAATATAATAATTATATGATTATATCATATTAATTATAAACAACTACAATTAATATAATATAAATCTAATAAATAAGTAGCTGCAAAAGTCGGGCAGTTTTGTCTCTAATATTCTTTGATTATAAACGGCTTTAATTTGGAGTGAGAGAAACGGGGGAGTGGCTTCATACAGTCTATGATTGCATCAGATGTCACTTTGCTCACAGCTGATTGGTCCAGTTTGGGTTTGCGATCTCTAAACCAGAATAAAACCTGCTCCGGAGCAGGGTAGCCGTGTAGCGTAAGTTTCCATGGTGACGGAACAAGCTCTAAACCAACCCACCTTCTTGAACCCGAAAACTCAGTTTGCTTAAACTAAACGTGAACTCACCTGGGTAAAAACTGAACCAAGCTTCGTGCTACAGGCCACAGATCTCACAAGTACACCATAACACACTATCAGTTCTTGGTTTATAAAGTCACACATGACGAAGTAAACCTAACTGAGAAGCTGCTCCATCTTCATACGCGTTTGTGATTCACGAAAAGAACCGACTTTTCTAAAAATTGCAAAAAAAAGAAAGAAAAAAAAGAACCGACTCTAAAGAGTGTTTATTGAGGAATCCGACTCCATTCGTCGCTCTATGTTTTGATTTCTTAAAAAAAAAGGCTTAACCCTTATTACACCCGTGTGTGTTCGTGTTTTCACTTACACTGGTGTGACATTCGCTCGGTACAATTTGGTTGTTTCTCATCACTACTTGCAAATGACTGAATTCTTGTTCATGTTAAACTGATTCACGATAATAATGAGACGCATCTTTTCTGTTACTCGCGTGTGAATGGGCTTTACTCAAAATAACATGTTGGATAACGCGTTATCATGTTATACTCAATAATAGATTAAACCATTTAACAGTTCTTGTAAAAAACTGAACAGTCTGCGTCGATTTTAATTACTTAAATGCGTAAAACACCAAACCTTTCTTCAGCCGAATCACAACAGATGCAGGAACACGGCGCGGTCTTTTGACGTCGTCTTCTTCTTCTTCTTCTTCTTCTTCTTCTTCTTCTTCTGTGGATTTATTGGCGGGTGGCATGCCAGCTTTTAAGGTGCATACCGCCACCTCCTGTGCTGGAGTGAAGTGATTTCAGTCTAGGTATATATTATGAATTCTATGTGCTATTCTTAAGTCCACTATTCCTAATGAATTTTAACCAGCTTTTAGGTGCATACCGCCGCCTCCTGTGCTGGATTGTGAAGTGATTTCACTCTAGGTATATATTATGATAACTATATTCCATTCATAAGTCCACTAGTCTTAAAGGGGTCATATGATGCTGCTAAAAAGAACATTATTTTGTGTATTTGGTGTAATGAAATGTGTTTGTGTTTAATATGTTGCAGATTGAAAATTCATTGCATCCTAAATTCTGTAACTGTTCATACCTCGGACAGAGTAACGACACATGATCAACTGTTTCCTTTACTTGGCATGTTTCACATAATCCAGTACTGTGTTTTCCTATTATATGAAGTGTAGAATTAAGTTTTGTATGACCCATCCTTAGTCTTGTTAAAATGACCTGATCTTCTCTACTGAAGTTTAGTATCATTTTGCTTTGATTTACCCTGTTTTGTATAATATAAAAATGTCTTCCTGTTTTACAGTCATTCCAATACCCTTGCCATTTCCAATTGCAAGTTTCTTTAATTATACTTTCCCCTCCATCCTGCTTAGTGAAACTGAATAGTAGGAGTATTCAGATTAAGTGACTCTTTAGCCATTTTATCAGATTTTTCATTTCCTGGTATATCAACGTGCGCTGGAACCCAAACAAAATTAATTAATATTCCAGCATGTCTTAATCTATACAATATATTCATTATTTCTATAAAGATATCATATCTAACAGTTTGAAGCCTGGTAAGTGATGCCATTGAATCCGAATCACTTCTTCTACCCAACTAAGTGCCATCGGAATTGCCACCATTTCGGCAGTGTACACTGAAGTCCCATCCGTTAACCTCCCATATTTTCCGATTTTAAATTCTGGAACATAGAATGCAGATCCAGTACGACCTATTTCTGGGTTTCTTGAGCCATCAGTGTATATTGGCAGAAATGCATAATAAAATGTTCTGATATATTCTGTTGAATAGCTTTTGATATTAATGTTAATCTGTCCTTTTTGAATACATTCATGAATTTGTAAATCAACTTCAGGTAGACTGAAAAACCAAGGAGGTATTGGGGAAATTGTAACTGTTGAAGAAAATGTAATATTATTTAGTGACATTTTTGCAGCCCAATCCTTTACTTCCCATGCAAACCCTGTTCCTGTTAAATTAATTGTCCCCCAACTCCCCTCTAATATTGATTTTGTAGGATGATCTGAATTACGCCCTTGTAAATTGATCCAGTAAGCAACAGATAATTTTGTAAGTCTTCTATCTAATGGGGACTCTCCTGTTTCAACTTGCATTGCTGAGATTGGAGTTGTTTTAATACTTTTTACAGTCTTCTGCAATGTTTGAGGCATATAGTAACAGCTGTACCTAAATACTTTTCTTGCTTTAATGTTGGACTAATTTCAGTTACATTTACATTTTTAGGCTATGTAGTTTTAATTTTTATTTATTTGTTTTTTAGATTTTAATTGTATTAACAACTCAGCTGTATGTGGACACCTTTTGAGTAGAAACTCCCATAGTCCATACCTACTGTAGTTTTAAGTTATTTAAATATATAAATTAAGTTAAATCATCAAACATTTGTATGACTTGACAGTGACTTGCTTGACCCAAGCTACGACTTGACTTGAATTGCTTGACATAAAGTAGTGACTTGACTTGAGTTGTTGATAGCTTCCTTTTTCTGCCCCATCCAGGTAGTGTAACCGTTGTTCCTTTAGGTTTGAACTTGTGAACTTTGCTTCCGACAGTGTCTCTAGGAACATTCAGTGCCTTTGCTATCTTTAGTTGATTAGTTGACACAGGTTTGCTTGAGAAATGTGAAATTTAAAGTTAAATCCCAATTTTGTCTTTATGTCTGCATATTTTATTCTGCCTTTTTTTGTAAAGATTTCTGGTGTAGCTGATATCAGTAAGTAACTGTTCTAACTCTCCCAAGTCCTAATATAATGTTAATTTTAAAAAGATAGCACATTTACAGTGCTTATAGCTATCTTAACTTATGGTTAACTAACATTCCATTATTTAAGCATTAAAGTTCCTAGAGGATTTTGTAAGACTGTGTTGGGTGGACCTCAGTCCCTCTAGGTCAGAGGTGCCCAAACTCGGTCCTGGTGGGCCGATGTCCTGCAGAGTTTAGCGAAAAGCGCCATTGGAACCTCAACCGAGGTGGTACTAAAAAAAGTACCAGGTACCAGGTACTGTACCCAGTGGAAAACCCCCAAAAAGTGAACCGTACCGAGCTGTACCGTGCCGTACCATGCAGTGGAAAAGCGCCATAATTGGGGTTGGATCTAAATTCTGCAGGACACCGGCCCTCCAGGACCGAGGTTGGGCACCCCTGCTCTAGGTGTTTCTGGATTATTTTATTTATTTATTTTTGTACATTTTAAAGCTAAATTCATCAATCTAGTGTTGAGAGCTCAAAATTGGTCAGTTGTCACTGAATTGACTTGTACCTGAACTTTAACGTTCTTTTCAATTCTTTCATTTGAAGACCAAGATGCTGGGCTTTTTCCCTTGAGTGAGAATATCATAAATACTATGTCATTTATTATATCTGAATGTAACTGTGCTTTCAGTTCATAAGACTAGATGGGAAACTAAACTGTATTGATAGCTTTGAGCTTTCGATAGCACTGCAATTCGTTCTTTCAGTTCATCCCATAGGGTATTATATTTATTTTCGAATGGAAAATTATTAGATTTTAGCTACAGAGACTTTTATTTTGGTCTGGTGATGTGACGTCACAAGGCTGCGCCGCGCTCCTGCATCTGTGATTCGCTTGAAGGTGTGTTTTAATCAACAAAACTTGTTTAGAGAATTGTAGCGTGAGATGAATTATTAACTAATGTAATACTTAATCTAGGGATATTAAGGAACGTTATTTTGTGCCTGTGAAGCGTATCCGCACATGAGTAACAAAAAGCTGCGTCTCATTTCGCTCCCTATTATCGAGAATCAGAATTCAGTCCCTGGCCAGTAACGTTAGTTAGTACTTTTTTCATCTGTAAATGTTAGAAAGTCATGCAAATATATCCATTTTGCTTGCTGTCAGGAGCGGGCGAGGCTTACGCGAGTGAAAAACCGATGGAACGCAATCGAATAGCGCAATAATTCTGAATAAAATATGCATTCTGCTAAAATATTTGTTGTTGGACATTACATGTGACGCATGTAAAATTTTAATCCTACATATTTGTGTATTTTTATCGTAGCAGTAAATGTAAATCAAATGTAAGCTGGCTAATACAGCCCTACAATCTCAAATGAGTTAAATTTGTGTTCCTCTTATCGGTTAAAATGTAGTCTGATTTCTGTTATTTATTTTCATTTTTAATTCAGTGGATTTAACTTTTAATTTAGTGTGTTTAATGCTTTAAAGAGCAATTTTAGATTGTAATGTTTTAATGTTCTACTAATAACCATAAAAGGTACAGCTGTCATAAAACCCGAGAGAAAGGCTGCATAGAAACTGCTGATCAACTGAATGCGCAAGTAGCAAATATATTAAAATATTTGTGTATGTTTAAAAAAAAAAAGAAGGTCATTACATTTTGGGCACAATACATTAAATACAGTTGGTTGTAGCCTATTTTTTTTTTAAATTTTATTATTTAAGTTGCATTTTCTGTATGCTTTTATTTTTGGACTAATAATAAAGTCAACTAGTTGTATGTGAGAGAGTCAGCGGTAATATCAATACGTTCCTCAACTCAGAACTCAGCTTAAAGGGGTCATATGATGATGCTAAAAATAACATTATTTGGTGTAATGAAATGTGTTTATGCAGTTTAAGGTTCAAAAAACACATTATTTTCCACATACTGTACATTATTGTTTCTCCTCTATGCCCCGCCTTTCTGAAACGCTTTTACAAAGCTCGTCGGTCTGAAAAGCGAGGTGTGCTGTGATATAATTTTCCAAACCTAACTAAATAACTGGAGGCAGAGTTATTTTTAACTCCATGTAGATCACAAACCTCTGAAATCGTTTGAGAAATGTAAACGTTATCGTGTTTTTATCCAGAAAAAAACGCAGCTTCTCCGTTTACCTCCATTTATTTTTAAGGCTGTCTTGCCCTCACAAACATGGAGGACGCGTTGACGTATCGCAGCAACGGCTCAAAGCGGCCAATGAGGCGTCTAGGTATTTATATGTCTATGACTTCCTTCCCCTTTCATGCTTATCGCGGTTGCACACTTAACAACAAGTGACTCTTGAACCTTAAGAACGTGAAGATCTTCCTTTTTTATGCTGACTTACTGTTAAATTCAGGCAGTGGCTATTAAAATGATAAAAATGAAGAACTGAAAGATACTGACAAAACAAAATGCAATCCCAAAAGGCTGAATAAAATGTTAAGCATTGCATTTATAAAGGAAAAGCTCAAAACTACCGATTTGTATCTCTAACAGCAGACACAGCCAGTCAGGGAGATATTGGACCTCCTAGAGTGAGCAGAGGCCGGGGGCGAGAGTTAGCGGAGGTCGGCTTGAGTGAGCAGAGGCAGGCGGGCTAGAGTGAGGAATGGCCGGTGGGCTTGCGACAACCACATGTGACGACCCCGGGCTGGACTCTGCTGCGTCCACGGTGAAAGCCGATCTGGCGATCCACAGCGTGAAGTTGATGTATTTCCTCAGTGACCAGCACGGATCAGCTCCAGGCATGACGAAGCGATATCGTCCTCTTTTGGAAGACCAAACAAAGTAGTTTCACTTTCACAACGAAGCACACAGCGTCTTCACGACATGGCGGCGGCGGCAACAACAATACTACAGCGAGAATAAAAGTTACGCCTTCTTTCTTTGCGTGAACATTTGGGCGGCGTTATGCAAATCTTCCCACATAGTGAGGTAGATATGTGGGGGCGTGTTAGAACGAGCCGTTTTAGGTAGGCGTGGTTGACTCTTAACTTTTATAAAGAATATCTCTTTGGATTTGAGACTTTAGTCTTTGCAACTTTTCAGATCTTCTTTATGCACCAAGAGCTTGTAACACTCCAAAGAGAAAGGAAAAATTGAAATCGCATCATATGACCCCTTTAACCTGACAGTTATCCTGTTCCGGACCAGGTTAGTTTCCCAGCATAAGTTGCCACAGTGAATGAGCTTGAGCTATGGTAAATTTGCTTTCGGAGACCAAATCAAGTGACAATAAGTCAGACTAACTGAAATAAGCCTGGCTTATTTGGTAAACTTGTTTTATGAAACAGCCCCCAGCTCAAAAAAGTGTAAATGCAACGACAACAACAAACATTTAATGTTAACTTTTACAAACCAACTCCAAATGTTTTAATTAAAGTGGAATATATTAAATATAACCTACAAATCAGTAAATACTAAATATAAATCTTAATGCAAATGTGAACCTTTGTATAATTTGTGTCCTTTTATTCATGAGTGCTAGTTATAGTTGTTTTTTGTCCAAGTTTAAATCCATTAACTATCACTCTGATTAACTCCCTTACCAGTGCGCTGATTAATGAACTAGGGAGCTGATTGAGACGCACCCAGAGATTTAGTTTTATTTGTTTTCTGTTAATTATTCTCATCTTAGGACAAAGTGTCCAAACACACAGAAAAACTCCTGCTGAAGCAACTGAGAGCCTTGTTACACACTATTATAAAGATGGTGTTTATTAAAGAGGAGAGTGAAGACCTGAAGATTGAAGAAGTGTTCAGAGTCAAACATGAAGATACTGAGGAACAAACAGGTTGGTTTTCATTTTCAAAGCTGAACTCAGTCAATTGATCCTTTTTAAGTGTCCAGCTCTACAGAAATAGTTATATAAAAATAATACAGAAGTAGCCTAAACAAAACAGTTATTTTTAATTGACACTTTTTGTTGTCTGTAAGTGTTTTTTTTTTTTCTACTTGTCCCATCAAAGTGCTATACTAACATATACATACCTGAATGTAAATAGCAGTAAATGTTCATTACAACAAATAATAAATAATTAATATGTCAGAATCACCAGCCTACTTATAGCACAGTCACTGCATGCTGTTTATCTTTGTTCTTCATTTAAAGATCTTTCATTTTATTAAAAGTTGATATCAAAGACCTAAGTAGTTCACTAAAGAAAACATCTGTTGTGCCTGTCACAACTTCTAACAGCATCAGTTGTAAATGAATCATCAGAAGTAGGGATGCAACGTTACCATTTTTTCAGAAAATTCTGAGTATCTACCGATCCGATACCAGCGCAGTTGTTATTTTTTAAATCAATGTAGAATTTCTATACTTCTGTGTTGACCTGATCATCACTCTTGTGTGTTAAACACAATCTACTAAATATAGACAATTTTAATGAAAAATAACAAATAAAAAAATATATATAATAATATATGTCAAAAATTATAAACTAGGTTAGTGGATAATTCAGGAGTTAATCTAGAAAAATCATGGATGCACATTAATTTTATAAAATCTAAACATTTAGTGATATAATTTAGTGGGGAATAAGTAAAATATAATAAGTATAGGACTAAATCTGGTAAAACATTACACATTGTTCTTTGTATTGTTGTAAAATACATTAATAAAAAACAAATAAATTATATATATGTATATATTAGTATAAAATTAAGACATTTCTTTTAAATGTATAGCACAGTAATGAAAGCAGCAACATATGATAGATAGGACAGAACAAGAAAGACTATTAATAATCTTTCATTGCGCAATAGTCTTATAATACGAAAGACTCCAATACAGAGCGGCACAAAGCGCTTATGCACATCCCGATCCCGTTCGCAGAATAATGCACTTGAAGCAAAACGGAGTCACAGCGCGCAGCACTCCGCATTGAGAAGTTCAAAGCACAAATGAAAGAGATTTGGATGCTTAGTGTATTAAATCTGTGCAATAGTTTGAGCCTTTTCTTTTAACAGTTTTAAATCTCAATTATTGTGAGCTCTTTAAGAAAATGTCACCGTCTTGACTGTCTCTCTGTGTCTACAGAGAGACAGCTACAAATACTGTTGGAAATGGCAAATGTAAATTATATAATTTAATTTTACTTTTACTTTTGCACCAAACTTTGCACGTATGGGTAATGGAAAATGTAAATTTAAATACAGAAATACAATGCCATTTTGAATATTGCGTTGCCATTTTGAATATTGCATTGCCATTTTGCATATTGCATTTTAAATTGAATTTCGCTACCTATATGCTTCCTTAGGGAACAGGTGGATAAAGCAGCAAAAATAATTCCATTCAATTCTCCCGCACTCTATGAGCACCGTCTTTACGTGTGAGCTCCTCTCTAACAGCGCTCAGAAACAGTCTGTCTATCAGACAGTGCATGCATATAGCCAAATGAGTTCTCTTTTGCTGCTGATTGCTTTTCGACGGCTTAAAACCTTGTTTTTAGATCGCAATGCTAAAAACGCGTGCAAACGATACGTTTTCATGACCACATAGCACAGCAACATCATGTGAGTGTGTAACTGCGATAGAGACTATAGTCCAAAATTTCAACCGGTTGACAAATTTCCACCAGTTAATCATGTCTTACCATGCATCGCCCACCTTTAGATGTTGCCATGACACAACAGAAAATAATTAACATAAAATGCTGACGTTCATTTTGAAAACTTAACGAAAAGCAAAAAGGGTTAGTTCACCCAAAAAAAATTTACTCACCCCCGAGGCATCCTAGGTGTATACGACTTTCTTCTTTCAGACGAATCCAGTCGGAGTTCTATTA